CGTACCCAATAAGCTAGCGGCACGAACTTTTTTCAGGGTGTTCATAGATCACTAGGACCTACATGATGCTCATACTCTCGACTCAAAAGCGATGTGACACTTGGGAATGTTCCCTCGTGAGTTGATTCATACATGAAGAATCGTGAATTGGATGACACACAGTCTATTATTTTGTACACTAAAGCAAGAAAAAAACAAGAAAAGATGAATGTCATTGACGTCTTCAAGAATTTTTCCTCTAACATTTGTGCCAAATATATGAAATGAACACAATATCTCTTTCTGGCTGTTCAAGACTGCCGTTTGAGGCAGAAAAAAGAGCACATCGATGCATTATAAAGATATCACATTCAAGAATGTAGACACAAAACATTTCTGGTAAGTGTCTGCTCGACTTAGACGAACGTTCTCCTAGTTGTGAAATCAAAGAAAACCAATGGTACCGATTTCGTTGTTCGTTGACAATGAGATGCATTCTTACTCAACTGTGATCAGCTACATGACCGAAAGAGAAAAAAAACCTTTCTACTAAATATGAACTATATTTCTGATGATATCAGCACTACAAATGTAAATAGACCTATTGAATTTTTTATCGTTCACGAAGCAGTAATTTATATAATGTCGACATTTCAACAACACGACATTTTTATCTTTTGATCTTTTTTACAGCTGCACATGCATTTATTATTCAACGCTTTTATATATTTTGATTTTTTTTTCGGTGCTTTTCTGTTCGATCGTAGTAGAGTTAAGTAATGAGTGTTCGTGCATGTACGAGAAAAATGAGGTCGATTTGCTGCGAAACTATTATCATGCGACAGTTAGCATACAAATGTAAAAAAAGCAATGCAATAAATTGCGTGCTACTAATGTACGCTGGTAAAATAAGTTTGTAAAGGATGGACAAATACAGTCATACTGATTGCTAAACGTCGCTTCTGTTTCTCAATATTTATCAAAATACTTGAATGTGAGTTTTCGAATATTTTTTAAGCATAAAATAAATATTGTGCTCTCTTTTTGTCATTCTAACGCTGGAATATCTATTTTCATTTATGTAGCGACAATTCGATAAGAAGATGGAGATTGCACTTAATTGGCTTTTAGCAGTTGATTTTTTCCAACTAACACAGAAGAACAACACAAAAAATAATCATTTACAGAAACACTGCATTAAAAAATGTTCAGAACCCTAGAAATTTCATGAAGAAAAATAGCTTTGTTAATGTCACGTAATACTTACGAAACTCGAAAAAGCTACATCATAGTGTCTGTGTGTTCAGGAAAAAGCCTTGATTGACTTATTCAGATGTTGTAAGACAAGCCATATTAATGGACTATGATTTCGAATTGATAAAAGAGCAGGAAATGTTTTTTTTCAACAATATCTAGACATGTAAGACAGATGATATTCTGCTTATATGAATATTATCTTAGTATTTTCTATTGAAGTATTTGATATAATAGTTGATATGTTAAATATTTAGTGTTCGAATTTATAGAAGAAAGAAAAAGCTTGTTAGCGCAGCCCCTTTGGGGCTGAAATGTGGAACTCACATATCTTCTTTAATTTATTATACTAATGACAAAATACAGTGTTTAAATTCTTTAAAAGACGATGGTTCTTTTCTAATGATAATCGATTGTCAGCAAATGCTGCCATTTTTATTTCTATACTTCGAATAAAATTTGTTGTTTTTTTTCTGGAGTTGCTATGGTCTGTAATGGGGGGTACGTCTGTAATGTTCTCTTTCCCGTTGCTATGTGTCTGTAATGGGGTCGAGGGGAGGGGAAGCCGCCAACCTCGAACTGAAAACTTACACTCACTATTTTCTTCGAAAACATACGTGAGTTCCACAAAATGGGGAATAGAGAACATTACCATTGACCTCTTTGATATTCTTGTCTGAAAATTAAATAAATTTTGCGCGTTTCTCTCATTTCAGTTATATTACTATATTTATCATCCTCCTCTTTCATCCCCATGGCTTTGAAGAAAATGTTCCACATTGCGCGGAGTAGACACAAGCTAGCTATATTTAAACCACTGAAATCATGTATCTAGCACACTTACTTCCTGTACTAGCAACAGTCTCGTTAATAGCATTGGTTCGTTTCAAGTTTTACACAGCAACATTTTATCAACATATAAAAAAATGACAACCGATGCTTTAGCTCCTTCACTGCAATCAAAACTCATAATAAATCACTCGTGGTTCTGTTTTGGATTATAGATTAATACATAAAGGGACTGATTGATTATCTAGCACCTGGTTTTTTTAGCTGAATAATGTTCAAAAAACAACCTTTGAAAAATCCAAATCAGTCTTTAACTATCATCGCCATCAAGATACTCGAAAAAATTTATATCAAAACCAAAACCAAATCTAATCAATAATCTGTTATAGTACTCACTAGGCTGACAATCATACCAAGCTGAGCATTGATAGAAAACTTGACTAGAATATACGATCCTAAGTACATAACATCAGAGTTTTTTTTGTTTCAGATTTATTAACACACGAATATAACGAGCGCATACGACTAGTCAACGTCGTTCAGAAAGTATACACTAAGTAATTCTAATAATACATATAATTAGTTCACAACAAATGATAACACTGGAAATTATCAAGTTCATTTTCCTTGTTTCTAGAAAAACGTGCGCATCTACAAGATTAAAGACTCAACAATTCACGTAGTGTTCATCGAGCGAAGTAGCAATATTAGATCGATTTCTAGAGTCACGGAAGTGTGAAGGAGGGGAATTAATGAGTTTCAACCTACAGAAGAGGTTCGAAGATGCATTGTCTTCAGCAGAGTTCCGACAAAAAATGGGCTGGTGTAGACATTTGAGTGTAGTTCATCTTTTCTTCTTTGAACAACTATCCACAAAGCTCATAGCAATTAATATGCGGCTTTAATGAGGGTTTCAATATCAGCTGAATAATCTAAACTATATAGATGCGATCCTCCGAAATTCTTAGATTTTCCATATGCTACGCAGAAATTGCAAAGATAGAAAACTTTTGTCGATTCGATATTCATCATGGCAGAAAATATACATATATCTTCGTGTACAGGTCTAAGCTCAATACCTATGGAAGAAATCCTTTTATATCGCTTTTTTTAAATTTTGCCACACTAAAGCTGCGAGGAACGAGTTCACATATGCTATTTTAAAAACTTTATTTCTCAATTAAGTATCAGTTTGTATGACTTGCGTTATTCAGAGTTTAAGACAATGACCGATACTGGAAGTGATCACAAATATGATGATGACGATGATGAAAATTCAGCAGAATACTCTGACAATCTGATTGATGTTGGCAAAAAACTCTTGACTGAATATGTTACACCGGCATTCAATCTATCTCCAGTGGACGTAAGTTCACCTATTGGTGGAGTTAACTTAAATGCAGGACTAGATGGAACTGGTATTAACACATCATTGGAACATTTTAAACTCGACTCAAAATCATCATGTTTAGAAAATATAAATGATACTGCAAAAGAATACTCACTTGGCATCGCTACATCTACACTTGAACACTCATCACCAGATATAAGTTATTCTATTGGTGGGGTCGATATTAATGCTGGGTTAGATAGCCTTGATATTAATACACCTTTGGAAGATTTTATACTCGATCCAACATCATCATTCTTAGAAAATGTAAATGATATTGCAAAAGAATACTTGATCGATATGGCTACATCTACACTCAGTTTATCATTACCAGATGTAAGTATATCTATTGGTGGGATCGACTTGAATGTTGGTTTAGATGAGATTGATATCAATACACCATTAGGAAATTTTAAACTGGATCCCAAAGCATCATGTACTGAAAATTTAACAGATGCTGTAACAGAACTGTTGGACAACAGTGTTAATGAAGATATCGATAACTTTTGGTCTGATTTTAATGACGCTGCACGTATAGAGATAGACAGTTCAATTTATTCGGATGGCACAACTTCTCTTTTATCATGTCAAATTAATGCAGATACGACTATTGGACAAGACGGCGTTGAAGCAAATGCTCAAGCAGATGGATCTCTTTCTAAATACAAATTATCTAATACTGATATTAGTTTTGGTGAAGGACAAATTTACGTAAAGGCATCCATCAGAGCAGATGGAGTACAGTATATGATTGGTGGAGAGTTAAATGCTGTGTCTCTAAAGAATGAAAATATTCAAGCAAATATTGGATTGAGCGTTAAAACTGGAGTTGACTTAACAGCATTTAATGCTGGTGTATCTGTTGTTGGATTTGGAGTCAACGTGGGAACAGAGGAGATCGGTATAAGTACACCTATCGGAGGCTTTAATACGAAATTCTAAGAATAAAACTTGACACTTCTTTAAAAGACATCACATTAGGTACTTGTATAGTAACTGTAATGCTTGTACAGTACTCGTAAAAAGTTCTCGAATATCGAAGAACGACTCTTCAAAATTTCATATTCCATCCCTATCAAACTTTACATATCTGATAGGTATATTTATTGGTTAAGCTCTTGTTTTATACTATACCGATGCAAAACTAGTAGTACTAAATATAATACAAAAGCTTAACCATTAACGGCACTTGGCATATATAGATAGTTCAATTTGAACGAAGTGTAAAATTTTGGAGAGCCACTCTTTGGTGTCCCAGAATTTTTTGCCAGGACTGTGCGTTGATGTTTCGTTATACTCATAAAATTCATTACCGTCTTTAATACAATGAATTGGGAAGCGCTCAAAATCTCGCAAGACATTCAATAACAGTTTTAGTTTTTGCTCAAGTTCTTGTAGTAAGGGGTGGGAGTGAGGTGAGTGTGATTCTTCTCGTCCCTTACACTCACCTCTGCTTATTATTCAGTGATTAGGTGTGGGTTGCAGAACAGAAGACACAGCCGTACCCCATAGTCACATCCCACCCACATCCACACCTACCCACACTGAAACCCAGCCACTCCAACACTTACCCACACCTACCAACGCCCACATCCTAGTCCAACCGACGTGTATCTAACAAGAAGGGCAAACTGATTATTTTCTTTGATCAATGTTTCCAATAGTTTTGCTTTTGGTTGATGTTGACGTATGGATTACTCGAAGTTATTTGCATTCATTTCATTTTGAATTTAATTTTCTTTCGCTCTTACAATAATCATGAACACTTTCTTGGAGAGTGCCATCAGTATTACTTGAAGAATCATATGAATGGGATTCTGCCAATATAATACGGATGACTTTAAAAAATTGTTCTACTGTACTTTTGAGTTCATGAGGATGAAATCATGTGTAAACGAAAATTATGAGCAAATAACTAAATTTCATTATCAATTAGCTATCACGATAGAAGGCAGAGAAAGGCAAAGTAAAACATCATATTGTTATCAATAGGCATATTGTGACCGAGTAAGTGAATTCATTTTAGTAGGTGGAAGTGTGATTATGGGTGTGGGTGTGGGTGTGGGTGTGGGTATGGGTGTGGGTGTGGGTGTGGGTATGGGTGTGGGTGTGGGTGTGCGGTGTGGGTGGGTGTGGGTGTGTGTGGGGGTGTGCGGTGTGGGTATGCGGTGTGGCTGTGGGGTGTGGAGTGTGGGTGTGGGTGTGGGTGTGGGTGTGTGGGGTGTAGGCGAGGGTGCGGATGTGGCTGGTTTTCTTCTTAACACGCGCCCACACCCACACCCACACCCACACCCACCCAGAGCCCGCGTGAAAGGATCAAATGTTAGGGGAGTGTTTGGCAGATTGAGGGGGTGTAAGAGAGTATTTTTAGAAAAATCTTGCAGAAAAATCATAAAATGTGGACAAAATCTGCTCTTGTGGCCGGATAAAACTGAAAAATTCTTATTTTCGGGAGGTATACACCCCCCTAAACCCCCGCTCACGCGGGGTCTGCCCACACCCCACCCACACTCATACCGTCAAAAATGACTAAAGCAGAGAAAAAAAAACCATCTGCGATTCAATTATTCTAGCTACAAGAAGAAGACAGTAGATCTTAAAAAAAAAGCGCTTGGATTCTTACGCAATATATTTTTAATAAAATGATACTGGTCTTTTTGTAATAGCATGTCAAAGTAATATTAAGTAACTATTGTATAAGTAAGTTTGACACCAATTCTGTTACGATCTAGTTGAAAATACAATGGATCACGTGAAGCAACATTTGTTGTCTGATCGGCACCATTCACATGTAAAGCAAATCCATTATTTGTTGTTGCGACAGCTGCTTTTGAGTCTTGAATACCCATGCCAACATATGCTCCATTGAAAACATTAATGGCATTACTTGGAATTCTATAGGTTTGATTTGCTTGACTTGTTGATATTTGCGATCTTGGAATGGCATATTGGCTGCAAACAATATAGCTACCAGCTAATGGC